TCTTAACAAGCCCTGCAAGTGACTCAGAGGTGTCAAGTTTGAGAACCGCTGCTCTGGGCTACCCACGTGCAGACGCCACCGGCCCCACCACAACCCCCCCGCCCCCCTGCCACCTCAACTCCCTACCCCAGCCCCTCTCCCACCTCCTCCCCTCCCAAGTCATGCTGTACTTGTCCTTCAGCAACCTCTGCACTACACCAGGCCACCCTCCCCTCAGGACCCTGCTGGGGGGGCTCTATGGCTCCTGATGCCTGGAAATCTCACTACTGTCCCAACCTGTTTTACTAACTAATTTGATTTCCTGAAAATATTTACCATTCAGCTGCTTAGGCCTCTTCTACCCCGGGGTAAGTCCTCCTACTTCTAGGGTTTAATTTCACTTTCAGCCTGTGGCCTCCAAGGTAGACGTCAAGGATAATCTCTGTCTTAACCTCGACTTTCCCTAACAGCCCTCAGTCACCAGATTTCCTTTCTATTCGTTCATTCCTACTTTCATTCACACATTCCAGCAAGTACTCAAGCCCTCAGCCTCCGGGGCGCTGACCGCACCAGGCGCCAGGTGCTTCAATGATGCCCCAGCAGCTCTCATTCCTGCCCTCTGAATCTGACCCATCAGTGGGGGATGGCCACATGCAAATAAACAGAATTCAAGCAACACACTCAAACTAACGGCCTCTGAGGCGGGGGCTGGGCTGAGACCCGAAGGATGAAGAGGAGGCAGGCCTGGCCATAGTTTATAAGAGCAGATGTGCATGTGGAATCCTCTAGTCCAGGCACTCTACGTGGATTATCCACATAAGCTTCCAACAGCCCTATGGAGTAGGTAGTATTCTCATCCCCACTCTACAAGAGGGGATACTGAGGCACAAGGAAGAATAAGGAGCATGTAAACAGCAGAGCCAGGACTCAAACGCAGGCAGGCAGGCAGGCAGGCTCCAGAGCCTTCCCTCCTAACCCCAGGCTAAGGTGAAAAGAGCAGGGTCGAATCGTGGGGGTGGATAGCAGACAGGTGTCCAGGCAGACAGAGCAGCATGTGTAAGGGCCCTGGGGCAGAGAGAAGTCAACCTGAACCAGAAAGGAAGTTGGGCATATTGGTGAAAGAGGGGAGCAGAAGATGGATTGGAAATATATTTGGAAACTGGACAAGATATTCTGACATGTATTACGGGATGCAAGGGAGAAGGCAGAATCCAGGATGACTCCCAGTTTTCTGATTCCCTGGTTTCAAGGCTTGAGGACAGTCTACGAAGGGCGAAGTATTATAACACAATATACACTACATCCCCGTGGAGTGCTGATGCACAGGAAGCTCTCAAATGAGTATCACCAATCCATCAAGCAGCTTGAAGCTCCCAGCTCCCTCCACCCCTGGTCCTCTGCAGGGGGTCTTCATTCAAGGGTTCCACCCTACCCCTGGGAGCTATTTTTCAGAACACTATTTGCACGGGTTAACACCAACAATCAAAGTTATAGCTACAGTAATGAGAATAGCTTCCACCAGGAGGATATATACACATCAAACCCATGACTTCATGTGTGTTACTGCTTAGGAAACAAAAAGTTTCTTAAAAGTTAACATAAAGAGGGGATCGGCCCAGTGCGATAGTGGTTAGATTCACCCGCTCACCTTCAGAGGCCTGGGGTTCACAGGTTCGGATCCTGGGTGCAAACCTATACACCGTTCATGAGGCCATGCTGTAGCGGCGTCCCATATACAAAGTAGAGGAAGATTGGCACAGATGTTAGCTCACTGACAATCTTCCTCAAGCAAAAACAGGAAGATTGGCAATAGATGTAAGCCCAAGGCCAATCTTCCTCACCAAAAAAAAGTTAAAGAAAACACTAGAATGAAAGTGCAGGTGATACAAGGATCAGGCAGCAATACTGAGGTAATACATAAATAACCGAAGCCTGTGCAACCCTGCTCACCACACCACCCAAGCACTGCCCGGCACCTGTTCCATACTGTACTGAAATTTGGCTACAGTCACACCTAACTCTGACTCTGCTCCAGAGAGAAAATGTTGGCTGCCTTGGGGGAAAGGGAATAATGTCAGAACAACACGATTTAGCAGAAATCATCCTTAGCACAGTACTGGTCTCGACACAAACCAGCCGCTCTGCTGATTCACCAGCACCCTGATGAAGGCAGGTAAGCCCTTCTGGGCCTCAGTTTCACTTTGTCAAAAGGAAGTTACAAAAAGTAGGCTCTGAGATCACTTCCAGTTTTAGAATTCTACTGAATGTTGTGACACCCTAAAACACAAAATTATTTTTTCCAGAATCATAAAGGCCCCAATCTTAAAGGACAGTGGACCTGAGGAATAAATGCTATGTAAGTCCACATGGCATCTCTGGCCACCATCCCTTAACTGGGGAGATGCTATCAATTATGCTGCCCTCTGGACAGATGTGGCAAGACATTAATTACGAGATGATAAAGACCAGCCAACCAATGTCTCTGTCCCCAGCAAAACTTTAAGAATTTCCCGCCACTAATTTTTAAGTTATTGACTGTCTTTACACTTAGTCTTTGGTGTCTGTTATTTCTAGTCCTTAACAATTAACTTTATTCTGGGTGGGAGTAGCAGGGAGCAAAATCTGCAGAGCCCCACCAACTCCTATCCTCACGTCAAGCCTCTGCTGATAGCTACCTCAACTAAAATCTCAGTTTCAATCTGAACGTCAAGCCTCTGCTGATAGCTACCTGTAAAACCTCAGTTTCAATCTGAACAGCTCCCGGAGGTTCAGACATTAGCTAATGAGCTAAGTTGTCACTCCTTATTTCTTAGAAACATGAACAGTTTAGCCAGAGCAAGCATTCTTCCTCTATTGCTGAAACAGATACATCTGTCAAAAGAGAAGTCCTAGAGAGCCCTCCTGTGCCTTCTTTCTAAAGCTGGTTCTATGATGTCAGTGGGCCTGTAAACTTTTAATAGAAGGCTTTTAGATTTCCAGCAAGAGAAGTTCTGCAATGTCCTCTCTTGGTGTTTAGCTGAAGAAACAGGATGGGTGGGCTGCAGCTGGCAAACTCAGAAAGCCCAGCTGGGTAGCAGGTGATAAAAAGAAGGAAAAAAAAAAAGGGCAAATCCCTAGGCAAATTGTGTAGCCAAGGGTGATCATTATAACTGGAGAGTTGTTACATAATTACTTGTTAACTGCTGACAAACACGTACATGGCTACAAAATGCCATGGTTACTCTAGCCATAGAAGCTGGCCTACCGAGCGCAAGAAGCAAAGTTTCTCCAATTAATTTCATTCAAAGAAATAAGCAATCCTGCGAACTACTCCCTTCCAAGGTAACCTGCCTGCTTTTACATACACAAGACCGCCTCCAGCGATTAAGCCAATCGCCTCTAGGGACGAAAATCAGTGTTTCCCCTTAATATTGATTTTTAGAGGGGAGAGGGGTTACAGAAAAAAAGTACATTCAAAGAGCTAAATATTTATCACCTGGATAAAAAGGACTTCCACTCCAAACTGGAAAATTTGAACAGACAAGTTCCCTCCCCCCACCCCACCCCCCCGTCCCTGCTCTACTGGCGCAAAACGCAAGACCTGTGTCGGATGCACTGCATTCCAACATTTTTCAAAAAGTTTACAAGGATTTACAGAAGCGGCGGGGAGGAAAATAAAACCAGCAGAAGCGGGGGAGAGCAAGCAGGAGGGTTTCGGCAAGGAAGGAGACGGCGAAGCGCCCGCGGCGCAGTGCAAGGCCCGGGAACCGGGAGGCGACCCGGCCCCCGGAGAGCGAGCGCCCCAGCGCAGCGCGGGGACTGACAGCCGCTAGAGCTGCGCTGCCGGGGTCCCCCGGCCCCCTAGCCCGGCCCCAGCCGCCTGCCCGCGCCCCCCCCCCCCCCCCCC